CTCGTCGCAGCACCGTTGCTTCCCTCGCTGTCGCCACCGACCTTGCAACATCTTGCCATCATGCTTCTTCGTACGTCGTTGCAACATCTCCGGCTCACCAGAATGCTGCTCGCAGCTCGCTGCACCGTGGCGTCCTCGCCGCAGCTCTGCTTTGAGCACGCATCGCAGCACGGCGACGTGCCGGCGTCCCTACAGCTCCGCCTCGCGGCACGCACCGGAGCAAGCCGCTATCTCGCACAGCGCGGCAGCGCCATTTACAACACTGGTGGAGCCTCGCCAGTTTCCGTGGGATTGCAGCACCTGGTCATGGCGAGGAGCGCGGAGCAGCATATGAGCAGGGAAAAAAGAGGATAAGGGAAATGAGAGATTGCCGTTGCGCGTGGGGAGAAGATAAGGAAGGAAGAGATGGGCACATGGGCGGGCCCCACGCGACGCATGTCGCACGAACGAGCCGGCTGCCGAACGAGCGGTGTGCATCCGGCTGTAATCCAGTAGTTTCCAAAAATAAATCAGTCAATCGGACAGGCAGAAGAGGACACAAGACACAGATACTACTGACCCAAACGGACGCTAAATTGCTACGCACATCCAGAGAAAAGAAAAACACGTTCAAAAAATCTACCCATCAGTAATACTCCCTCCGTTTAGGTGTGTAAGTCATGTTACGAAACCAAATAATCCCAAAATACTTAGGCGTGGTGCATTAACTTCTACCTCGTTTCTTATTTCTTGACATATCAATCAATAAAAGATAAAGAGTGTGCATGCTTTTAATGAATTGAGATATCAAACACGACATGCAGTGGTTAGTTCATTGCATGCAATACTATTAATTAGCAAATAAACATTAACGTTTCTCGTTTTCCCCTCCTCCTTGATCACGGTGCACAGTCTAAGATGACTTACTCACCTAGACGGAGGGGGTACGTGCACATGAAAATGTACCACCTCATGTCCCAAAATAATGCGCGTGGCGACCACCCATTGGCTCGGTCTGGCTGTCAAAAAACTCAATTGAACCACGTTAAAGAGACTTCGTTAGATATAGGGCTCGGGTTATTGGCCATAATTGAACTTAGTAGTCGGATTTTTAATATTTTATTTACTGGCTGTAATTGAACTTAGTAGCTGGAATTTTTTAATTTTATTTATTGACCGTAATTGAACTTAATGGCCGGCGTGGATGAGAGAGAGAGAGAGAGAGAGAGAGAGAGAGAGAGAATTTGTCGCAGGTAGGTCCGGGGGCTTCAGATTTTCAATCTTTTATCTGTGGAACGAAGAGTCTAAGTTATGTTTTCATATTCATTTTTCTCGTGACGAGTGCTTACAAATAAGATTCATTTTTAATTTATTTTTATGAATTTTAAAATATATGTTAAGTTTAACTTTCAAAACTTAGTACAAGCGACTGGTACAGTCATTACTTTTGTCCCTATGTCCGACGAAAAAATACAGCTTAAAGTTTATCTCTGAAACTTGGTAGAAGCGAGCAAAAAAAAAATCAGAAGATTCACATGCAAAATCGTAAATTTCAAAACTTAAAACTTATTATGCCCTTGTGCGGGATCTAACTACTTTGCGGATCACGAGGCAATCAGGCCACCGAGCAAGGCTGTGCGGGTGCACCCACACATGTGTGCCCCTGCGAATTTCGGGCAAGGATGAGGCATCTTGCATCTATCCAAAGTTATAACCCATTGAGTCGGCACTCTGCAAACGGTGCAGCCATGGAAGCACTCGCTTGGCTATATGTGATGATTGGTTTGTATAGTCAAAGTAATGGTTATGCCTTCAGCTGCTCTTGTCTTTATATCTGTCTTATTGCGCTAATTTTGTATGATCAAGTGGCTAGGCGCCGATCTGTCCCGACCAATGGATGGGAAGGGCACGTAATTTTGTACGCTCATTCTACATCTTATTTTGAAGGTGGTTGGCGTTGGTGACCCTAACCTTTTGTCATCAACTATTCTTCTTCTTCGCAGCAACAAGATCCACACCTTCCCTCCAAAATCCACAGCAGTAATACTAGCTACTCTCGTTCCCTTTGCTCCTCGTTGATCTCCTCAAAGGTTAGGAGCGGCTAAGAGCACGTCCCATGGCCACTGCGTGGGATGTTGTCGCTGCTGGCTGGGTCGTAACCGTAGCTGGATGGTTGGCGACTCCCCTCATCACCTTGCTCCTGCCCAAGATCCTCTCCTACTTCGGCTTCGACGCGTCCAAGAAGCTCCAGGAGCTAAAGATCCACACCATCCCGGAGCTGAAGAAGACGCTGCAGGCCTTGGATCAGGAGAGGATGATGCAGGGAGGAAAGCGGGTGAAAACCGATTTGGACGCCCTCGACATGATGGCGGCCATGCTGAGGCATGCTCTCGAGGATGCCGAAGACATCTTCGACGATGCTCAGCACAGGTGCGTCCTTAGGTGCTGGCATCACCTCCGCCACGCTTTCTCTGCTTGTGTTGCCCTCTGCAAAAGCAGCTGCATCTGGATTGCATGCATCGCCCGGACAAAATCCGCTGGGCTACTGCAGTGGGCACGAGACATCTCCTTGTCTTTGTTCCTCCGACGCACGCCACAGGAGACTATTCCGGTGAATATAAGTGATGCAGTCTCAGACGAGCCCGTTCAAGTGACTATAGATATTCCGGCCTCTGATGGTGAGCCCTATCCAATAACTATAGGTGTTGTGGCCTATGAGACCGTTCGGGTACCTGCCGGTGCTGCGGCCTCAGGCGAGCCTGATCCAATGACTACCGGTGCTACTGCCACTGACAATGAGACTGTTCTTGTGAGTACCGGTGTTGCAGCCTCAGTGGAGCCCGATCCAGTGAATACTAGTGCTACCAGCTCTGACGATGAGACTGTTTCGGTGACTACCGGTGCTGTGGCCTCAGGTAAGCCTGATCTGGTGACTGCCAGTGCTGCGGGCTCAGACGATGAGATCACTCATGTGACTATTGGTGCTGCAGCTTTCGACAAGCCTGATCCGGTGACTGTCAGTGCGGCGGTCTCAGACGATGAGATCGTTCCGGTGACTACTGGTGTCGCAGCCTCCGACAAGCCTGATCTGGTGACTCCCAGTGCTACGGTCTCAGACGATGAGATCATTCCGGTGACTACTAGTGATGCAGCCTCGGACAAGCCTGGTCTGGTGATTGCCAGTGTTGCGGTCGCAGACGATGAGATCGTTCCGTTGACTGTATGTCCTACGCTCTCACACGCTGAGATCGTTCCGGTGAGTACCGGTGATGTGGCCTCCTATAATCTTGACCCGGTAACTACCGCTGCTGAGGCCTCTGACGATGAGATCGTTCTCGTGACTAGACCCTCAGATTCCTTGTCGAGGCGGTGGCTCTCTTTCTTGTGCAGCTCGTTCGACTTCTTCAAGAACTCTTGTGCATCACTATACAGCTGGTTAACTCGTGTGTTTGAGGCTGCTTGCTTTTACAGAGACTGGTCATATCAAGTGGTCGGCATCAAAAAATGCCAGGTACGCCCAATCTCAACACCCACTCCATTGGGTCTTCATTTCATATGTATGTACTTTGTGTAAATGCAAAAGCTTTTTGTACATGTGTGAAAAAAGGGCCCTTTTTTTAATTTTCTGTTAGCCTGTGTTCAAATTGAATCATATATTATGGCGTGGGGACAAATATGTCATGTCCTATAATATCCATCTAAATTGCTAAGATGATGATCAGTGCAATACTAATTCCCTCATTTCACACCATTATTATATGTATGGGAGTACCTAGAACTCATCTAGATGAGATATAATTTGGTCTCATTCACTTTGAAAACAAGAACAGATACAACCCATGTCAACACACACGCATCTTATAGCATCACATCCAATGGCTATAAAAGATGAATGAGACCAAATTATATATCATCTAGATGAGTTCTAGCAAAACTGTATATGTATTCCCTTTCTTTTTAAAATAGAACACCCTATGCTATAGTCTTGTATGCGATAGATGAACATGCACAATTACTAGTTCCACCGTTAGTCTACATTCTACAAGGCCAAGGGCAATCATGTCCCACCAGTCTGCCTCATCTCACGTAATTCACAAAATTATTGATTTGCGCTATAATGCTCTGTTGTGTGCCTATTATTGTTTTTCTCATGGTCAGTTTTGTTCTGTCAAATGATTTTCGTATTTCTTTTTCTGCATTTCCATCTGCCTATTTTTTTTTCCACCAGTGGTATCTCATTTGTTCTGTATACTCACTTATCTCTAATAGATAAAAGAGATAAGTGATTGACATACTCATCCGATATTTTGATTCTTCCAGGAGAATGCCTCCTTATTTGATATGTCAGATATGTTCTCTACTGCTATATCAAGAGTGAAACTGAAGAAAAGAATACAGAAGGTAGAAACCGCCGTCAGTGATGTGAAGAAGTCTCCGCTCTTGGGTGTGGCAAGCAACACTGCACCAAATGATATTGCCAACAAGAACAGGAGCAGAATTAGAACTGCTAGCAAGCGGAAGGTATTTGGTCGAGAGGCCTTGCGTAATAATATCATGGCAAAGCTCCACAAGACATCACCGAGCTTGGGTACTAGTCCATGTTACTCGGTGATCGGCATATATGGTGTTGCAGGATCTGGGAAGACTACCTTTGCACGATATACTCGAGATTACATAGAGGAGGAATGCAAGGAGGAGAAACTTTTCGATACCATCATGTGCATTCATGTGTCCGAGACTTTTAGTGTGGATGATATATTTCATGAAATGCTGAAGGATATTACCAAAGATCGGCAGTCCAATATTTCAGATCGTGGAGAGCTGGAAGAGAAGTTGAAGGAAGAGTTGTGTGGCAAGCGTTCTTCTTGATATTGGATGATCTCTGGGTGAAAAACAAGCACGACTCACAATTGGAGGAACTAATCTCTCCGCTTATTGTTGGGGCGAAAGGAAGCAGAATACTGGTGACAGCTCGAACAAAAGATGCAGCTGGTGCTCTATGTGCCAATGAACTTATTAAAATGCCTGGTTTGGATGAGGATCAATACTTGAAGATGTTTATGCATTATGCATTGGATGGTACAAGTTGTGCTCATGAAGAATTTATCTCAGTTGGGAGAGAGATTGCCAAAAGGCTACACCAATCACCTATTGCAGCAGTAATAGTTGCAGGACGGCTTGGGGCAAACCCAAATATCAGTTTTTGGAAAAATGTTGCAAAGCTTGACATGTTGAATGACACCATGGATGCTCTTTGGTGGAGCTATAAGCAGCTTAATCCAGACATCAGGCGATGCTTTGAATTCTGCAATATTTTCCCCAGAAGATTCAAACTGGAAAAAGACCAATTAGTCCACCTGTGGATAGCACAAGGGTTTGTAAAGACTAGTTGTGCAGTAGAGGAGATGGAAGATGTAGCCGAGGGCTACATTCATGAGTTAGTGTCATGCTCATTTCTGCAACCAGAAGTAGATGATTTCTCTGAAGAAGAATACTTTACAATTCATGATCTGCTGCATGACTTATTAGCCAAGGTTGCTGGAAGTGATTGCTTCAGAATTGAGAATGCAAGGGGCCATGGAGGAGAAGGCTGGAAGGGAGATGTCCCTCGAGATGTCCGACATCTTTTTGTTCAGAATTATGATGGAGAATTGATTACTAAGAAGATCCTTGGATTGGACAATTTATGGACTCTCATCATTGATGTTGTTGAAGAGGATACACCAGTTGAGGAAAAAGTCATTGAGATTATATGCAAGAAGCTGCCAAAACTGCGGGTACTAGCCGTTGCTTTCAGCAAGAAACATCATGGAATCAGGAAACCCAATAAGTTCTCGGTCCCAACATCTATTGCTCAGTTAAAGCACCTACGCTATCTTGCTTTCAGGACATACCACTCATGCTTTGTAACTTTACCAAGAACACTAACTAAACTTCACCATATCCAGCTGCTAGATTTTTACGAGGGCCTAATGTTGGAATTCCCCTTTGCTGACGTTGTCAACTTGCGGCACATGTTCTGCATGCCATACTTGAGATCCCCTAACTTGGGCAAGCTGATCTCACTCCAAACGCTACCATGCTTCATAGTAAGGAATCAAAAACTTCGTGGACTGTTGATCAGAGGCCTTGAAAGTGTTAAAAGCAAGGAGGAAGCTCTTGAAGCCAATCTAGCTGCCAAGGAACAGCTCACAGAACTGAAGTTGGTATGGTTTGGTGATAATGATACAAGGTGCAGTCCAGAAGTTGAAGCAGAGGTACTTGAGGGCCTGTGCCCTCCCGTGGGGCTTCAAAAACTTCATATATTTGGATACAAAGGTTCAAGGTACCCAGATTGGATGGTGCGTAAGCAGAGCGGTGGCCCAGAGGGCCTAGGAAATCTTTATCTCATAAGATGCAACCAACTGGTACCTAGTCTTCAATTTGAAGCCTTCCCTCATCTTCGTGTGCTCCAGATTTCGTTCTGCAGCTGGGACTCGTTACTGGGCAACATGGAGCACCTGACGTTACTCAAGAAACTGGATATCGTGGGATGTGAGAATATCCGGTCTCTTCCAACACTGCCCCAGTCTATTGAGAAATTGTATCTTGCTGAGTGCAACAATGAGTTGATGAAGTCTTGTCAAAGAGTGGGACATCCAAACTGGCAAAAGATTGAGCACATCCCCATGAAAATTATTGGGTGATCCTGCAAGTAAGAATGTAATCCCTTCTGCTGCCTTGTTTTTCCATTTGGTACGTGTGAACATTGCCTCTGTGTATAGTGGACGATCTGCTACTAACTCGGCCTATTTTTGTTAATCCATTTGCTAATGGTTGACGCTTCAGAAAGGCAGTGAAAAACATTCGACGGTCTTGAATGCCCAGCGAAACTGCAGGCTCGGCTGCCCTGGATGGTGGTGACAGGTGTTAAAACTCTTAGCAGTTTGCTTGGTCTTAAAACTGCAACCTTGGACGGTCATCTTGCCGCGCCGTTGCTCGTCTGAGCTTGCTGTTCTGAGGTCGAGCTCTTATTTTCTGTGTTTCGACGACTTGGAACAAACAAGTAGGAGTACACTTAGGATAACTTGTTTGCTGAAGTGATGGCCCTAGTGTTCAATTTGATTTGTCGCTACTAGTATTTGTACTATTCAGTATCCAGTGTGAATTCAGATGAATGTTTATGCAACTGGGCGTTATATAAGTAGGAGCCTAAGTATGTTGAGTAGCTTCTCACCTTGATGGATCAACTTGCCTGCCAAGGAGTGATAAGCATAAGCAGAGCAGAGGGTTGCGGCATCAATGAACTGAAAAAATGATGTTGTTATTTTCCAGCGTTTTCTTCATGATGTTTTTTTTTGAGACAATTCAGCATGATGTTGTTGCTATTCCTGTTTTTACTTCACAGAAACAGCTTCTATTTTTACTTACTATTTCGGTGTGGAAAAACCGATTTGCTATATCACATTAGATGTGAAATAGGTATCTCACATCTAAGTCCATAGCCATTGGATGGTCTCCTGTCATTAAGATCGCTGGTGCTTTCGTTGTCCGCGGAGACCGGCCCATTTTCACGACCAGTTAAATATAAAAAGAGAACTAAAAGGTGAGCTTTAGGAATAGAACCCTGTTGGCACCAAAGAGGAACGAGCAGTTTCTTTCCTTTTGTTCCGTCTTGGTTTTCTTTTTTCTTCTCCAGTTTTCCCATACTTTCAGCATTTGTTTCTTCGATTTTTCCTCCTTTTTTCTTTGGTTTATTTTTTTACGGGGCTTTTCTTCATATATTTTTTTTGGTTTTGTTTCTTATTCTACATTTATTGTTGGTTTTATTTTTTTCTTCTCCATTTTTTGTTTTCCTTTTTCTTCTTATTTTTTTAATCTACATTTTCGTATATGTCAAAACCATTTTTTTAATAAGTGATCAACATTTTTTGTATACATGTTCAACATTGTCCGAATGCTTATTCATCATTTTTCAAATACTTGTTCAACATTTTAATACCATTGAGCACTTTTTAAATACTCGTTCAACAATTTTTGTATACATGGTCAACATTGACGGAACGCTTATTCCAACATTTTTTCAATACTCGTTCAACACTTTTTAAATACTCATTCAACATTTTTCAAATACTTTTTCAACATTTTGAATGCTTATTTAAAAAAATCCAAATACTTTTTGTTCAACATTTTTTAATACTCGTTCAACATTTGTCAACTACATGTTCAATATTTTTCAAATAATCGTTCAAAAAATTTCAGATACTTGTTAAACAATTTCAAATACTTGGTCATTGTTTAATATTTTTTAATACTTATGCGACATTTTTCAAATACATGGTCAATAATTTTGAAATGTGTTTTTAAGAGTGTTTAGGTATGCTAAACTAAGCCTGAGCGTATTATTAGCATTATGCGCTCCGGCCGAACGTCAAACAGCGTGTGCACCACAGAGCCAAGCAAACCACCACACGGATGCAAAGGTAAACCAGCGCGCTCTTCCACGTGTACGTAAAAGATTTTTTTTTTTGAGATAAATGCACGTAAAAGCTTTGGTAGATGTGGTAATCTAGTTCAGCCAGTTACTAGTATCTTTTGGTGCGGGGTAGCCAGTTACGTATTGACTAGGCAAAAAAACAATGGTAAAAAGCTACCACTTTCTAGTAATTTGGTGCCGACGCCAGGACTGGTCGCGGTCTCGATCGGACACGGAGTACACCGCGTGAAGAAGAGTAGCAGACCATCTTCTAATTATACACACCGAACAGTGAAGAAAAATCACTGCATCTTCGAGATGTACTTATTACACCGCAACGTGCGGAAAATTCACTGCATACCACACGGTTAAAGATTTGTTCAGGCCCATGGTTTCACTCCGTGTAAGAAAACTGTGACCAGTAAGCACATGCCAGCATCTAACAAAGCATTCTGGGGACACCGATAAAAACACATGGACTGCCGCAGCATCCATCTGTAGCAGCCTTTATCAATCAACCCATCGTCTCCTCCGTTTCTCCAGCTCTATCATTAGCACTAGCACCACCGACTCCTCTGCCACAGCAAGAAAACACACCCCTCCTCATCCAAGCCATGGAGGCCGCCATGATTCCCTTGATCAAGAAGCTTGGCGGCATACTCGCGAACGAGTACAGCATGGAGAAACACGCGAGGAAAGGCGTCAAATCTCTGATAACGGAGTTGGAGATGATGCACGCTGTTCTCCGCAAGATCGGCGCCAAGCCGGCCGAGCTGTTTGACGAGCAGGTCCTCATTTGGGCGGGCAAAGTGAGGGACCTCTCCTACCATATGGAGGACGCCGTCGACGGTTTCATCGTGCGCGTGGAGGACGTCAGCCATGACCGTGGCTCCACCAACATGAAGAACAAAGTTAACAAGTTCCTCAAAAGGGTCACCAAACTGTTTACCAAGGGTAAGGCTCTTCATCAGATCTCTGTTGACATTGAAGAAGCTCAGAGGCTCGCCAAGGAGTTGGGCGACCTGCGCCAAAGGTATATGATTGACGCTCAAGCCAAGGGTACCGGTGATGCCATTGACCCTCGCCTCAAGGCGGTGTACAAAGATGTCACAGAGCTCGTTGGGATAGATAACAAAAGAGATGAACTAATCAAGAAGTTGTGCCACTATGATGAAAGATCAAATAACCACTTAAGGACAATGTCTATTGTTGGATTTGGCGGGTTGGGCAAAGCAGTGTATGACAAGATCAAAGTGCACTTTGACAGTGTAGCTTTTGTTTCCGTGTCTCGGAATCCTGACTTGACCAAGATTCTCAAGAAGATATTATATGAACTTGACAAGAGCAAGTATGCAACCATCAACGAAGCTGCTAGGAACAATGGACAACTCGTCGATGAATTGAGAATGTTTCTTCAGGACAAGAGGTACGTACTATAGCAGCAAATGTTTCTTCGGGACAATAGCGTGTCCCAAGTAAATTTTATTTTAGTTTTGTAAAATGAACGCTGCCATTAGGCCTTACTTTTGTATCATATGCATCTACCAACTATGCACTATATATACTTGTAACCGATTAATCTTATCCATAAATTTCTTGAGCTAGCAATACCATCTCTTAATTAATTTGGTGCTGACTTCTGGGTTAAACATCTATGGACCTAGTTATGTTGGTTGAATTTCAAACTAACGCGCTAGAAAAATACAGGTACCTCATTGTAATTGATGACATATGGGATGAAGAAACATGGAAAATTATCAAATGTGCTTTCTATGACAACGGTCTCGGTAGTCGAGTAATGACTACCACACGCATAGGGAGTATCTCTAAAGCTTGTTGCTCTTATAGCGATGATATAATATATCAGATGAAACCTCTCATTGATGATGACTCCAAAATACTCTTCTACAAAAGAATATTTCCTCAAGGAAGTAAATGTCCAAACGAATTGGAGCAAGTATCGAGAGAAATCTTAAAGAAATGTGGTGGAGTACCACTAGCCATCATTACTATTGCTAGTATTTTAGCTAGTAATGGTAAAGATCAACAGATAAAGCCAAAGCATCATTGGAACAACATACTTCGCTCTATTGGCCGTGGACTTGCAGAAGGTGGTAATGTGAAGGACATGCAAAGAATATTGTCCTTTAGTTATTACGATTTACCTTCTCATCTAAAGATTTGTCTACTATATCTCAGTATATTTCCTGAGGATTTCGAGATACGAAGAGACCAACTGATATGGATGTGGATAGCCGAAGGCTTTGTGCACGGTGGAAAACAAGAAACTAGACTATTTGAGCTTGGAGAGAGTTACTTGAATGAGCTCACAAATAGAAACTTGATTCAACCAGTATTTTTTGATGCTGAAGGCAGGGCGGGAGCTTGTCGCGTGCATGATATGGTGCTTGATCTCTTATGTTCTTTGTCCAGTGAACAAAACTTTGTTACAATATTAGATGGTACTCAACAAATCAAACCAGTTTCACACATCAAGGTTCACAGATTATCTTCACAAGATAGCCTGCCAGAGCTCACAACCCATCGGGTCGATGACAGGAGTATGTCACAAGTGAGGTCTGTTGTTCTCTTTAGAACTGATATTGATCTGATCCAGACTATTTCATGCTTTCAAGTTCTACGCGTATTGGATTTAGAAGGTTGTAATCTTGGGAAAAATCGCCAGCATATTGATCTCGAGTTTATTGAGAATTTAATACACCTAAGGTATCTAGGGCTAAGAGGAACTTCTGTTGGTGAGCTCCCTGTGGGAATAGGAAAGCTATAGTTTTTGGAGACACTCGATTTAGCAGTAAGTGGTTCAGAGAGGAAGAAATCAAGTATGGTGATCCCGTCAAGTGTTGTCTGTCTAAGACATTTGATGTGCCTAAATGTATCATGTGCGATGTTACCCATTGGGATCGGAAATCTGACATCCTTAGAAGAGCTTACTGGACTATTGATGGATGGTTCTTCTATGATTGAGAAAGAGCTAGGGCAACTAACTGAACTGAGAGTGCTCAGCCTTTTTTGGAATGGGAATGATGAGAGCGTGTGTAATTCCTTGGTGGTTTCCCTGGGAAATCTGCGGAAATTGCAAAGTCTAAGAATTTATGGTGACTGGTACGGTGACCCTGATTCAAAGTTTGATTTCAGCTGGGATGGCTGGGTGCCCACTCCACAGCTTCGTACCCTTTTGTTTCGTGGATGCACCACGACATTGCCTAGGTG